CTTACGCGTGGATGCCTATTGGTCCCGGTTGGTGCCACCAACCGGGACCAAAAGGCCCTCCTGCCTGGGCTCAGGGGACAGGCCACGTGGAGGCCCTTCTGTCCCGGTTCTGGATTGAACCGGGACTAAAGGGGGGAGGCATTAGTACCGACCCTTTAGTCCCGGTTCACCAACCGGGACTAAAGGCCCTTACCAACCGGGACAATAGGCCCTTTTTCTACTAGTGCTCCCCTTAAAGAGTTCCCTTTATCGACAAGGACACCTCCGCCCGCCACATTGCAGGTATCTGGTAAGCTTTGGATCCCAGCCACCTGGGTATCCCTTGTGGAGCTCTTTTAAGGCGGTCTCGACCGTCCATTGATTGAGGGTAATTTTTGACCATGTAAATATCATTCTATAAGGAATGTATTTTAAGAAAGGGAATGATTGGAAAATAGTTGTTTCTCTCTTTCCTATATACAATCGTGCAATGCATGGTTAACATGTTTCTTTTCGTTTTTACAATACTCAACAATGTTCAGAGTACTTGGTGTAAAAAAAATGATCATTGGACAATTTCTGTATGATACAAGTATTTATGCTTCTTATCACATTAATTAGCCTGGGTAAACTCTAAGTTCACACGGATGAAAGAGAAGTATTCTTTATTTTTGTAGGATGACGGTAGAGAAATAAAAACTCGAGGTTTTAGCAGAAAAATGAAATTGATTTATTCAGGCATGGCAAATTATTTATAAAAAAATAAGTAAAATTTATTATGTGGAGTTGTCAAATGTTTATTAATGCATGTGTGTGTTACTATTTGTCACCATGCGTCTTAACCGAATCCTACTGCCCTAATTTATCGTTATGCATGAAATTCTGGACATATCCCGATCAAAAGATTTCAAACCAAATTTGAATGCATTTTTTTTACTTTGTTATAAAGAGGCTTTGAATTTTCAATATACAAATACAGTTGTGTGCAGTGGTACAGTATATATCGTCTCTGTTAAACATGTATTAAAAATATAGGTCGCATTTTCGAAACCCAGCAGCTAGCTGCTTATAATAATTTGTTTTTCACATTACTGCACTAAAAAAATAGAAAAGGTATGCGAGGCTGGGACTCGAACTGCGTTCGTTTCGGTGTGAACAAATATCTGACATGTTGTTTAAAGACAGATGGTGCTCAATTTATCTATAATGTGAATGTTTAAATTCAAAATTATCAAAACGTTCGGTATTTCTGTCCAATACGTGCGTTTACCAAAGGGCGGCCAGAAATGCGGTTACCGTCCGGTAACCGAATTGTGGTACAAGGACAAAATCACCGGAATCAAAAGGTTGAGATAATTAGCACCCTTGTGCGTGCCAAGCATCACCATTCAAACACACAGGACGGTGTGCCCGGCAGAACAAACATATCCTCCCACGGTTAAAATGCGGTTACACACCAACGCCATTTATGCATGAGACTAAAAGTCAATAATGGCATTTGAGACTTGTGAATGAATGAAAACAAAGGGGATCGCTCCCATCGATCTATCACGGAGATCGCTCCCTTCTACTTTCTGCGAGTTGACGAGCGAGCAGCAAAGGAGAGGCAAAGCTACGCAGATCTCACCTACCGGAACACAAAGAAGCGCGGAGAAGAAGGAAAAAACAGGGACGCGCTAGCTTAGCTGCAACGTTTCGAATTTGGGGCATAAATCACACGGCCGGAGACTGCCAAGGAAAGCTGCCCGGCCGGTCTGCTTGCTTTGGACAAAATGATTTGTAATTATGCCATCGCTCATCAGCTTGCTTTACCACTAGACTAAAGGAGTGAATTTGGGACCCCAACTCAAAAGGGCCAATCCTAGCCGTGGGACAGGTGCCTTTCGTGACTTAATTGGAATACAACTTCCCCATAAGTTCCTTGCTTAGTTCCACTGTCAACATTCTTATAGTGCTCACTCCACATGTCAATATTTTTTTCCAATATATGCTTTATCACGCGAGGTACCAAAAGTTTGATGGTGACATGAACAATGCTAGTTGCAATGTTAATTGCATGCTCAGCTCCCGACTATAAATACACCATTGGAGCGTCAGGACAAAGCCCATGCCTCATTTCAAGCCAGCTTCTCTCATCTTTGTATCCCAGTGACCTACCCTACCCTGTTCCAAGCCTTAGGCACCACAGCTTCCTAATTATTTCCCTTCTTAAGCAGCCCGGCAACCTCTCAGAGAAAAAGATGAAGATCGGGAAGGCTCCTGAGCTCCCGAAGAAGGCGGCAGCGATGTGCAAGAGCAAGACCACCAGGCTCCTCATCCTCGCCTCGCTCCAGCGCCGTAGGATGGCCACGGCCGCCGTGGTCTCTCGCAAGATTGACGCGCTCATAATGGCTGACTGGGAGAGAGCGGACCGCCACAAGGCACTCGCGTTGGGAATGGTCGAGAAGAAACCGGTCATCAACCATGAGAGTGACTTGGAGGCCAACTTTTCTCGTCACTTGGTGATGTTCGGTCAAGAGAATGGTCATGGTCGCTGCCACACTGACCGAATGCATTCCTTCTTCAACAACGACCAAGAGAACTTCCATTACACTGACGATGATGATGTGGAACTTGATTCATGTGATCAAGACGATGATGATGAGCCATCAGTCATGGATGTAATCAAGAACAACCGAGAAGTTGAGGGGTTGGAGTTCAACATGGAGGAGGAGATTGATCAGGCTGCTGATATGTTCATTAGGAGATTCCGGCAGCGGCTGAACGAGGGATTTTAGGGTCTTGGTTGCACATGCATGTACCTCAGCCTAGGGAATTGTCTTCTTTTTAGGTTCCCACAAATTAGAAAATTTTGTAGAAATCAACATGAGTAGGAGTTGATGCTTGACAAAAAAATGATCATTATTGCCATTTATTTTTGAACAATATTGTCAACATCTAAGATCCCTCAGCCTCACCCACCACTATAGAAAAAACCATCTATGAGTGGTTGGCGGATTGCTGTGTAAATCCACGGGCACTTGGCATACATACAATATGTTTGCCGAGTACCGTGTAAATTAAACTCGACAAACAAAAGGTAGTCAGTAATATTTGGTCTTCACTGTTTTCCCAAGAAAACACTTGTCATAAACAAAGAGCCTGACAAAGGAAGCAGACGATACTCGGCAAACAAAAAGTTCTCGGCAAATCACGG